CAACTTAAAAAAAAAAAAAAAAAAAAAGTGATTGTGTTTTCAGCTTTCTTGCTTTCTGTATATTTTCAGCAATTAGTTGGGCTGAAAAGTAAACATAAGCTCTCTGAGATAATACTGTTAACATTTTGTAAGATTACTATGCTATATATATTTAAAAAACACATATGTATATATAACAAAATGGAGTATCTTGTAATCTTAAAAAGAAAATTATATAGATATCTTTTCATGTCACTAAATAACCACACTATCATTTTAATGACTGGATTTCTCATTATTTAACCAACTTTCTCCTAATGGGCAAAGTCAACTTCTTTCCAGTGTTTTGCTGGCCACTAAATATTGTAAACAAGATACATTCTTTCGGTCCTTTTTGAGATACTCGTTGGTTATATTCTTCATGTTCCTGGGAATAAATTGCTGGATTAAAGTGCGTGTAGATTGAAATTTTGATAAGTATTGCCAAATTACCTTCCAACTGCATCCCACCATCAATGTGTGAGGAAAATAGACTCTCTTATTGAACCAGTTGGATGAAGACTACTAATGTTTTTTCTTTCCCCCAGTGACAGCAATAGACAGGGCAACATGAGAGACTGGGCTGCGAGCTGCATTGGAGAATTTATTGTTGGAAGAATTAATCCCCAAAGAGACTGAAGTGAGTTTCAGGATGGCGAAAGAGGAGCCCTCAAGTACCTCAAGGGACTTGCAGGAGTTGCAGAGGAAGCTGTCTCTGCTGATAGAGTCCTTCCAGAATAACCCAAAGGTCAGTTTTTAATCACTGTGTATAATAGAAGATCCTAATATAACACTAGCATAAACAAGATAGAAAGTTGTTTATTTTTCAGGTAGAAGAAATGTGGAGGTAAGTCAGGAATCTTTCTAGCTTGCCATCCTGCCATGTCAAAGTTGTGACCTACAAACTCATTGTCTGAGATGGCTGCAAGATTATTAGCCATCATATCTATATTCCAGGCAGTAGGATTGGAGGAGAGGGGGAAAGAGATTTGCAAGCTGCCTCCAATTCAAGGAAACTTACTGAAAGTCACACACAGTACTTCCAGTGACATCTCATAGGCTAAATTTAGTCAGATGACCAGCAGCAAATGCAATTCTTTAGCTGGATAAAAACAGTCTGTGCCACAGATATCATCCTTATTTTAAGTCTGGCTTTTCTGTTCCCTTGAAAATGAAGGGCCAAAACCTACTTTAAGATTTGAGTTTAGTGTTACATGAGAAATCCAGTCTCCAATAGAAATATGATGTCAGCCACATATGTAATGTAAAATTTTCTAGTAGCCGATTTAAAGAAGAAACAAGTGCAATTAATTTTAATATATTTTATTTAACCTAATATATCCAGAATATTCCAGCCTAGGCAACATGCAAGACCTCATCTCTATAAAAAATTAGCTAGGTACCTTTATTCCCAGCCACTCAGGAGGCTGAGGCAGAGGAATCACCTGAGCCTAGGAGGTCGATCCTGCGGTAAACCATGATTGTGCCACTGTGCTTCAGCCTGGGCAACAGAGTGAAACCCCAATTCCCCTCCCCCCCAAAAAAACAATCCAAATATTATCACTCCAACACGTAATCATTGTAAAAAAAACTATTATGGTAAAAGTTCTTGAGATGTTTTACATTTTTTTTGTACTACCTCTTTGAAATTCAGTGTGAATTTTATACTTCTAGTACATTTCAATTCGAGTTAGCCACTTTTCAGGTGTTCAGAAGCCACTCAATGGCAATGGAACTTGAAATAGTATATTTTACTTTCTTGAATATTTATCTTTATTCCTTTCTTCTGTAGGCCTTTCAGCATTTTGTCGGGAGGGGAAGTAAAGCAGCTTTCAGAGATAATGCTGGAAACATTTTGTTGTATGTCTTTCCAGATTTTTTTTCTAAATAATAAGCCCATACATATGCATATGTAACAAAATGACCTGTTTTGTGATCTATTTTTTGTATCGGATAGCACAGTTCCACTAGGGTCTACTTGAGAAGATACTTCTTTGTGGTCTAGAGCAGTATATTCTACAGAGACCTTTTCTGGACTCACTCCTAGTGTGTCTGGCACTCTTTGTGAATTTACCAAGCTATTTTTAAATTGGACAAGCAGCTTTCTAGTCAGCTGGCTGAGACTCTTCTTATAAAAATTTAGCTCGGGCTGGGTGTGGTGGCTCACCCCTATAATCCTAGCACTTTGGGAGGCCGAGGTGAGAGAATTGCTTGAGCCCACAGGTTCAAGACTAGCCTGGGCAACTTGGCAAGACCTCATCTCTACAATAAATCAAAAAATGAGTCAGGCATGGTGGCACGTGCCTGTAGTTCCAGCTACATGGAAGGCTGAAGCGGAAGGATCAACTGAGTCCAGCAGGCCAAGGCTGCAATGGCCACAAGCGTACCACTGCACTCCAGCCTGGGCAACAGAGTGAGACTCTGACTCAAAAAAAAAAAATGCTCAGTAAGAAGGATCCTCATGCCTTTTTCACATTTACAGTAGATTCTCATTACTTATGGTCAATATGTTCCATAAAGTTACCAAAGACAGCCGGGCTTGGTGGCTCAGCCTGTAATCCTGCTCCTTTGGGAGGCTGAGGTGAGTGGATTGCCTGAGACCACGGGTTCGAGACCCACCTGGGCAGCGAGACCTCATCTCTACAATAAATCAAAAAATCAGCCGGGCATGGT